CAGCCCCGCCAGCTGCCAGGGAGCGCGGCGTGGGCGCAGGCAGGCTAGGAGGTGTCTGCTCCTCCCGGCGCGGCTCGTCCCGCTGCGGGGCACCTGGCCGAGGGGCCGTCGTGCCCGAGGGGGTCCTCCGCAAGGGCTTCCTCTGATCCCGGGGCCTCAGAGGTTATCAGCAGCAATAAACACTTTCACCCTTAGCCTCCTTCAGACAGTGACGGATTAGCCCCCTTGACGCTCCCAAGTGCGCTTCACGTGTGCTCCCTCCAGCTCCCCTGTGCCTCGGCTCGGAGCCGCGGCGCTTTCCACGCACCGCTTCACTGATTGTTTCTCTGCGAGGAGGAAGCAAGAGGGAAAATCTCCCTCGAGGAGTCACCTCTTCTGACCCAAGGGCGCAGGTTAATGCGGGGTGCCCCGCAGCACCGGCTCGCCCTCGGCCCAAGGGGATTAAATACACCGGGGAGACGGCCCTGAGCTCGGGGGGACTTTTGGGGCCTAGCTCTGGCTGGACTGAGGCAGGGCCAACAGGTCGTCCCTGCACGAGCGCCGCCGGGACGTGTGGGGACAGACGGGGGACAGCCACACAGGCACTGCAGCACTTTGGACCATTGCCGTTTGCAGGAGGTATCTGTCCTGTCGCGTGCGCGCGCCTGCACGGCTGCGGTCTGGCCTCCGAGCCCCTCCGACGTTCACAGCTACAGGCATTCGGGATGGCCACGTTGGTCGTAGCAGGTCCCCGAATAGCGGGGTGCCTTTCGGGGATGCCCCAGAGAACGCAGCGCTCGTGTCTCGGGGCCGAGCGGCCGCCTCGCTGCAGTACGTGCTCGGGCTGTCGCTTACGGACGTGGTCTCGGTTCAGCAGAGCGGCCTGGCCTGGCTCCGAGCGGCCGCAGCGCAGCTGGGGCTGGGGCCACGGGCTTCCCTGCATGAGCGGGCCAGGCCCTGGCTCCCCAGCAACCTGCTTGTCTCCCCTGGCCAGCCGGTGACACGTCCTGCGTGGGGCCCGTCGCAGCAAGCCGAGCTCCTTGGGGAGGACGCAGGAAGCCTCCCCAGGCCGGGGAGCAGCTCGCCCAGACAGGCCAGTCTTGTCCCTTCCTCCTGTGGGCTGCAGCTTGGGGTCCCCGGCTCCGGCGCTGCCCTCCCTGCGTGGGCCAGCCCCTGTCCGGGAGCCCCAGGCTGACCTCGGCGTGCAGGAGGCCTCTGCTCACAGCGGACCTGGGCTGTGGAGCATTTGCAAACAGGCAAAGAGAAGGTGGTGCTTAGTTAGCAAACGCTGTACCTGCAAGATACCAGCATGCTGCTGCTAGTGCTGGGCACGCAGCCCGCCAGACTGAGTGTCTCACTTCCGTGACCTTGTCTCCCAGCAAACGTAGCTGAGTGGGGGGCTCCCGGGCTCCCTTGCTGACTTCTGCAGCATCTTCTCAGGTCACACCAGCCCCGTGACTGAGCGATCGGCAGAGCTAAACGTGCAGATCAGAAGCAACCCAAAGAGCACGCATGTCCGAGCCGCCCGGCGCCTGGGCGCTGACACCAGCGCTCCCCATGTGAACGTGTCTCAGGGCACCGCGGGTACGGCCGTTGGCTCGAACTGCTGCAAGCCAGTCCCCGGCCCCATTGAAATCTTCTGGAGCCGAGCCATTAACTTCAGCGGGACGAGCTGCGGCTCTGTACAAAGCCCCTGTGAGAGGAGGGGATTTAGTGGACAGACTGAAACGTGCAGTAAATTCCAGACTTAAAAGTGGCCAGGGAAAGATGTGCAGATGGAGCGAGGAAGGGCAGGACGTGGGCAAGGCCTCGCTGCCGGGGATTGTCGGGGCCAGGTCGTTGTCCCCTTCCACCTGGTGCAGGGGCAAGGAACGTCCCTTATTTCCAGCCACCGGGTCAGAGACACGCAGCTGAAAATGCTGTTCATCCCCTGCCAGGAATGTTCATTTCCAAAATTTAATTGCCTCGGAGAAACCAGTGTTTTAATTTCAATTACAATTGCTCGATGAGAGACAGATGTGAACCGTTAGAGTGTTTATAACAGTGGTCTAAGAGTAAAAAAAACAAATATCAATGAAATGTGTTTCACTGATGGGATTTGATTGGCACACAGGATTAATTACAGGCCTTTCACCTCTGGAATTGCTGTTCTAATCCTGCCAATGCCCAGGGAAAACAATTTAAAAGTTGTGTATATATTTTTAAATGATATAGGAGTCATTTCTTTTTTGAAAATGGTCTGGATTACAACAGCGATTCAGTGCAGTAAAAAAATCCCATTGTACGGGGGAGCATCTGCCAATAAATACACGCTGGGTGCAATTCTGTCTCCCCTGCACCCAGAACCTGGATGGGGAATACAGAGCAAGCAGGGCCATGAAATCCCAGGGAAAACACTAGGATCCTGCAGTTTCTCGGCAGCCAGACCCACGGGTAAGCTCTGCTTGACCAGCAGATGGAGACGGGAGCGCCTGACGGCAGCCCTTGCTCCTGCGGAAATCGGCCGCAGTTCTGCTGGGGTCACCGTCACCAACGGTCATACTCTGGACGCAAAATGGCACGTGGCCAGCTTAAAAACAAAGCGAGTGACAAACGGTTTGGAGCGGGGAGCTTTCCCCCGGCTGCCGGGGCTTTAGCACACCACAGGCCTCTGCAGCAAGGGGCAGAGACGTGCCTCGGACAGGCAGAGCGGCGCTTCCCCGGGAAGCATCGAGGAGTCTCCAGCATGGTGCCAGGCCGCACTCCCCTGCCCCGGGGCAGCACACTGGCACTGCTTGCAGCGGGCTGCGCCCTGCGCTCCCCGTACGAGCCGGCGGAGCTGGCACGGCAGAGGGGAGCAGGCTGACCTGACCCCCCGCACCGACGAGCGCCGGCTGCTCTGGCATGCCACAGCACAGCCTCTCCGGGCTGCGGCCGCTGCCACGGTCTGACCCAAATCTGCAACGCTGCCACCAGGCAGGCAGGCGCCGGCCCCCGCGTACAGACGGGAGGCTGAAGCCGAGGGAGGGAGAGGGCAGGTTGCACAGCCCAGGCCACAGGACGGGCATCCTGGCCCCCCGTGCCGGTGTCCGGCCCTGTGCATCCCTCCTGAACGGCGTTCGGCCTGCGGGGCAGGGGATGTCAGAGCAGACCGATTCCCCAGATCACAAAATGGGTGAGAGGCCTCCCCAAGCCCCTTCGCTCCTTCTGGCAACAGGTCTCAGGCAAGGAGAGTACAAACGGCTGGAAAGCACGCAGCCTTTGGGCCCGCATGTCAGTGGTTTGCAGGGGCCCGAACTCCTTGACATAATTTCAGCGACTGAACAGGCAGAATCGGCTTGCAAGTGATAAGGAAGATGAATAATAGAAGCAAACGAGAACAGTGTCTTACAAAGTCTTAAATTAATTTGTTACTTACCCCTTGTGTTAACATACATGTTGGAAAAACAAAGAA